CGAAAGATTAAAAAAGTTGATTTTGAAAGGATATCGTTTGTTTTCATAAACGAAACAATGTGTATCAGGGAATTCTTTCTGACTTCGAATAACCTTTTTGTTTGGCATCAAACCTATTTTATAGTTTTGTAAATTTGAAAAGTTTTAAGCGGCCATTTATATATTGAATATATAATGAAAGTATTCTTCCAAGTGTCATAAATATTTGAGAATTTGCATTTCAAAGATGTGTCTATTAGAGAAGATTGTTGAAAATCCTGAAGATTCTAAACTAAAATCAATTGATAAATCTGTTTTTTATCGATGCTGGAAGGTATTTATAATGAACCTGTTTTTTTATCAAATAATCGTATTAAAATAAAGAAAATCAAAGTAAATTGCAAATTATAAATATGAATGTTATTCGTATTCTTTTTACTTTTAAATAAAAAAATGTTATTCAGATCAATGATCCAAGATCTTAAGTCATGGAAACTTTATGCTATTAAATACTTTATCAATGAAAAAATAAGATGAAAATCAATATTTTAATTATATTGTCAACTTATATTTATGAGACTTTTCATCAAAATTTTAAACAAAAATTTTAAATTGAATTATTTGAATTATTTGAATATTTGAATGGTTTATATATTCTTGACATTTGAAATTCGAGGAAATTTTCATAATGGTGAATAGAAAAAGGAGATAACAAAAAACACTTCATTTTTTTAAAGTGAAGAAGAAGAGAAAGATTTAAAATCATCAAGAAAAAATGTGTCTTGTATAAGGCACTGACAGCTACTCTGATTTGATAAACAAAAAAAACTTTCATCACAGCACACTGACCAAAAATCGAGTGAACGAAGAATGGTCAATCTCCATTGTTAGGAGATAAAATTGTGTCTTGTGTAAGGCACTTTACAGCTACTCTGATTTATTTTAAAAAATAACAATTCAAACGGTGACATAGACCAAAAATCGAGTGAATGAAGAATGGTCAATCTCCATTGTTAGGAGATAAAATGGTGTCTTGTGTAAGCCACTTTACAGCTATTTTATTTAATTTTTAATTTAATTTTCTCCAATAAATAGATCAAAAACTTTTGATTCAAAAGAATAAGATAGAAAGAAAACGAATAATCAATTAAATCTTCTATTTATTGGAGTACTTGTGTCTTGTATAAGGCACATTTACAGCCATTAATTTTTAACTAAAAATTAATTTTTACTTTTCATATTCATTGATATATTATTTATAACGCATTTTATTGAATAGACATTTTTCTTATTTTGGTTGAAATGCTTGAATGGTTTATATATTCTTGACTATTGAAATTTAATTAAAATTTTAAAATGGTGATAATAAAAAAGAGAAAATAATAATGTAAATAAAAAAGCTTGGAATTGATATTTGTCTCATTTTATTCAATCGATTAAAATTGATTTTTTAACATGGAAAATTATTTTGAGCTGGAGCAGCCCGGTTTGCTTGATATAATTTCATTACCTGAGATTATTCATACGACGATCACTTTGCTCATACCTGTAATTGTAGTGAAATTTGCATGATTATCCTAACCTTATTCTAAGATAAGTAAGTTATTTGGTTCGATTTCTAGAAGTTTTTTAGGAAAAAAAAATAAATCACTTGTAAAGCAATTTTCAAAGAGTAAAATAAATAGAATTTATTTAAAGAAAAGAAAGCATATAAATAAAAAGAAAACTAAAAGTAAAAAATGAATTCTTCTTCTACCACTAAAAAGATGTATTTTTAACTTAATATAAAAAGGAGCCTGAATCTGTTTTAATGAAATGCAATTCGAAAATGCATCTTGATCAATTTTAATTGCATTTGATTGGATAATAACAAATTGTAAAGAAATGCAGTCATTGAATGCATTTTTACCAATTCTTTCTACAGATGTAGGAATTGTCACTCCAATTAATGATTTGCACTGATTGAATGAGTAATCTTCAATTGATTTGACTGAATGAGGAATTGAAATACTTGATAATAATTTGCATTCGTTGAAAACAAATGAATCGAATGAAGTTATTGAGCATGGTTCTTCAAAGAGTATTTCTTCTAATGATACACAGCCAGAAAATGCAAGACTGTCAATTGAAGTTACAGAAGAAGGAATTGTGATACTTCTCAGTGACCAACAATCAGCAAAAGCTGAATATCCAATTGAAATTACTGGTAAAGGAATTGATATTTCTGTTAACGATGAACAGTAACTGAAAGAAAAATGTCCAATATATGTAATTGATGAAAGGTTTGTATATTCAAAATCTTTATTTGAAGATTCTTCTGTTTGAAATAAATTTGGTTTCAGTGATGAGCATCCAATTATAGCAACAGATGAATGAATTGATTTATCTGTTAAAGACGAGCAATAACCAAAAGAATTATATCCTAAAAATGTAACAGAAGAGAGCTTTGAACAATTATCAAATATTTCATTACTAATTGAAGTCACAGATGAAGGAATTGATATTTTGAGCAATGATGAGCAAAAAGCAAAAGCTTCGCATCCAATTGATGTAACAGATGAAGGAATTTGTATTTCAGCTAATGATGAGCAACTAAGGAAAACATGATCACCGATTGAAGTAACTGAAGATGGAATTGATATTTTTGTTAATGAAAAGCAATTCCAGAAAGAACAAGAATTGATTTTAGTAACAGAAGATGGAATTTGAATGGATCTTAATGATTTACAAAAAGAAAAAGTATTTGCTTCAATTTCTTTTATTGGACATTGAAGTTCTATTTTTATCAATGATTTGCAATAAGAAAAAGCTCCTTCCTTGATTGAAGTCACAGATGATGGTATCTTTATTTTAGTAATTGATAAGCATCTAGAAAATGCACGATCACCAATCGATGTAACTGAAGGTGGAATTTTAATACGATGCAAAGATGAACATTCATAAAAAGCATAATCATCAATATAAGTAACAGATGGAGGAAGAATCACTTGTGTTAAAGATGAGCATTGAAAAAAGGAACTTTTTGGAATGTATGTAAAAAAATGTGGAATTGAAATTTGTCGCAGTTTCTTCAATCCATAAAAATTGAGTTTTTTATCTTGACCATAATTATGAGACAATAAAAAGTAAACAATTGGCAAATTGTTATGATTGGCAGCTAGAATAATTGAACAATTATAAAATGTTGTTTGAAAATAATTTCCTTCTGAATCATAATGAACATAAGACTCATTGATTTTAAAAGATTTGTCTTTCATAATTAACGTGACCAATTCATAATAATTATATTTACTGCAAAATTCCAAGAAAATTGGATCCGAATTGAATTCTTCAGGGAAAAAGTTGTAGTTATAATAATGAAAACAATGATCATAAAAGTTTTCTTTTAAGCATTGTTGATCTATAAAACTCTCATCTAAATAATTGTCGTGAATGTAATTTGCGATTTCATTGTGATGACATTTAATTGCTTCATAAAAGCATTCTAAATAAGTTTCATCTTTTGGTTTGACTTCATTTTCTTCGAGAAGTCGAATTATTTCTGGATTTCTACCATGAATTGCATAAAGCCACAATGAAGGCTCCAATTCAATGTGATTTAATCGTAAGTATTGAAAAATTTGAATGGATCCAAAAAAAGATGCGTATTCAATTAATGTAGTTTTCCTCTTTCGCAGAAATGGATTGGTTTCAAATATTGATTGATGTATTATGCTTGATAATGAAATATTGTTTTGATTAATATAGATTACGAATTCTTGAATTTTATCGTTTCGAATCAAATGGCAAATGTGTGTTTCATTTTCTCCAATTCTACATTTTTCTAGCCAGGTATCAAAATCGTAAGAAAATTTTTTTGAAAATTTAGATTCAATTCTTTTTATCTTTTTTTTGCTAATGCTTTTTTTTAATATGGGATAAAAATAATATATGTATTTCATCGAATTATATAATTTTTTTCTATATAAATATGTTAAAACGGATTTATCAATTGTAATGATGTTTTTTTCAAAAAGAAAACGAAGAAAAATTAAATTATTACCAAATGTATTCAACAAATCTAAGCTTGAAAAAAGAATTTTGATGTCCTCTCGTAGATGTGAAAAAATAAGATCAATTATTTTGAGAAAATCGATTGTCCTATAATGATTTTTTAAAATTTTAGATATACAATTAAGAAATAACGTCAATTCTTCCCGATTTTCATGAAAATTTTGTAAAAAACAAATCTTTTTTGATTGTTGGTTTTCGATTTCATTATTACATTCAAGAAACTCTGATAGAATGCAATAATCACTTTTCTTATGTTTGATATATTCTCTGATTTGCATATCTTTATATACATAATCTATGACAAACGAACTATGTCAATTTTGATTAGTAAAATTCAAAAAGTATTCAAAAAAAAAAAAATTTCAATTTAGATAGAGTAATAGATAAATAAAATTATGAAATTAAATTTAATTACGATAGAATCCTCTACTTTGGTGATGGCATTATTACCAAAGAAATTGGATAATTTGACTTTTTCAGAATTGGTAGCCAAATATGTATTGAAAAAAAATGAATCATTAAATAAAAAGATTTCAGAAAGTTTTAATCATCTAAAAAATTTTGATATGCTTATATCAGAAGCGTAAAATTTATTTTTATTTGGTTTCGTTATTGTATTTTGTAAATATTTATTTTATTTCCTAATATTAATTATGCATCATCAATTTGCATTTTATGAAAGATATCTACAACATTGACATTATAAAATCTATTTTTAAATCAGTTTTACTTTCTCATCGTAAGGTAAAGAACAAAAAAGCTAAAAATAGCAAAAACTTTTTCTGAAGAAGAATTCTTTGAATTTATTTTCAAAGAGTTTTGTTGTATTTTGAAAAGTTTACATGTTTTACATTAGTACTTTTAATATGTAAGTTTGTCATTGTGTATTTTTTAAGTGAAATAATTTTTGATTTATTTGAGTTAAAAGTTTAGTATTACTTTATCACGCTTCATGAAAATCATGGAAATGGGTTGTAGTTCAATTGGTTAGAATACGACACAGTCATTAGTCGAGATGTTGGTTCAATTCCAACCAACCCCTATTATTTTTTCTTTTTTCTTTTTTCTTTTTTTCCTTTTCATTTTCTTTTTTTGTTAAACATTCAAGATTAGAGTTTTTTCTTTATTCTGATTAGGATTTATTAATGAATATTTTATCAATGATAAAATAAGATAAAAATCAATGTTTTATTCATATTTAGAAAAATATTTATCTATCCTTATTCATATCAATTCAAATTTTTTACACTTTTCTTAGAAATTTTTCAATAAAATTTGATTTAAAATATTTGAATGGTTTATATATTCTTGACAATTGAAATTTGTAAAAATTTTAATAATGATGAAAAGAAAAAGGAGATAACAAAAAACACTTCATTTTCTTAAAGTGAAGAAGAAGAGAAAGAGAAAGATTTAAAATCATCAAGAAAAATGTGTCTTGTATAAGGCACTAACAGCTTCACTGATTTAATAAACAAAATAACTTTCATCACAGCGACACAGACCAAAAATCGAGTGAACGAAGAATGGTCAATCTCCATTGTTAGGAGATAAAATTGTGTCTTGTGTAAGGCACTTTACAGCTACTCTGATTTATTTTAAAAAATAACAATTCAAACGGTGACACTGACCAAAAATCGAGTGAATGAAGAATGGTCAATCTCCATTGTTAGGAGATAAAATGGTGTCTTGTGTAAGCCACTTTACAGCTATTTTATTTAATTTTTAATTTAATTTTCTCCAATAAATAGATCAAAACTTTTGATTCAAAAGAATAAGATAGAAAGGAAACGAAAAATCAATTAAATCTTCTATTTATTGGAGTACTTGTGTCTTGTATAAGGCACATTTACAGCCATTAATTTTTAACTAAAAATTAATTTTTACTTTTCATATTCATTGATATATTATTTATAACGCATTTTATTGAATAGACATTTTTCTTATTTTGGTTGAAATGCTTGAATGGTTTATATATTCTTGACTATTGAAATTTAATTAAAATTTTAAAATGGTGATAATAAAAAAGAGAAAATAATAATGTAAATAAAAAAGCTTGGAATTGATATTTGTCTCATTTTATTCAATCGATTAAAATTGATTTTTTAACATGGAAAATTATTTTGAGCTGGAGCAGCCCGGTTTGCTTGATATAATTTCATTACCTGAGATTATTCATACGACGATCACTTTGCTCATACCTGTAATTGTAGTGAAATTTGCATGATTATCCTAACCTTATTCTAAGATAAGTAAGTTATTTGGTTCGATTTCTAGAAGTTTTTTAGGAAAAAAAAAATAAATCACTTGTAAAGCAATTTTCAAAGAGTAAAATAAATAGAATTTATTTAAAGAAAAGAAAGCATATAAATAAAAAGAAAACTAAAAGTAAAAAATGAATTCTTCTTCTACCACTAAAAAGATGTATTTTTAACTTAATATAAAAAGGAGCCTGAATCTGTTTTAATGAAATGCAATTCGAAAATGCATCTTGATCAATTTTAATTGCATTTGATTGGATAATAACAAATTGTAAAGAAATGCAGTCATTGAATGCATTTTTACCAATTCTTTCTACAGATGTAGGAATTGTCACTCCAATTAATGATTTGCACTGATTGAATGAGTAATCTTCAATTGATTTGACTGAATGAGGAATTGAAATACTTGATAATAATTTGCATTCGTTGAAAACAAATGAATCGAATGAAGTTATTGAGCATGGTTCTTCAAAGAGTATTTCTTCTAATGATACACAGCCAGAAAATGCAAGACTGTCAATTGAAGTTACAGAAGAAGGAATTGTGATACTTCTCAGTGACCAACAATCAGCAAAAGCTGAATATCCAATTGAAATTACTGGTAAAGGAATTGATATTTCTGTTAACGATGAACAGTAACTGAAAGAAAAATGTCCAATATATGTAATTGATGAAAGGTTTGTATATTCAAAATCTTTATTTGAAGATTCTTCTGTTTGAAATAAATTTGGTTTCAGTGATGAGCATCCAATTATAGCAACAGATGAATGAATTGATTTATCTGTTAAAGACGAGCAATAACCAAAAGAATTATATCCTAAAAATGTAACAGAAGAGAGCTTTGAACAATTATCAAATATTTCATTACTAATTGAAGTCACAGATGAAGGAATTGATATTTTGAGCAATGATGAGCAAAAAGCAAAAGCTTCGCATCCAATTGATGTAACAGATGAAGGAATTTGTATTTCAGCTAATGATGAGCAACTAAGGAAAACATGATCACCGATTGAAGTAACTGAAGATGGAATTGATATTTTTGTTAATGAAAAGCAATTCCAGAAAGAACAAGAATTGATTTTAGTAACAGAAGATGGAATTTGAATGGATCTTAATGATTTACAAAAAGAAAAAGTATTTGCTTCAATTTCTTTTATTGGACATTGAAGTTCTATTTTTATCAATGATTTGCAATAAGAAAAAGCTCCTTCCTTGATTGAAGTCACAGATGATGGTATCTTTATTTTAGTAATTGATAAGCATCTAGAAAATGCACGATCACCAATCGATGTAACTGAAGGTGGAATTTTAATACGATGCAAAGATGAACATTCATAAAAAGCATAATCATCAATATAAGTAACAGATGGAGGAAGAATCACTTGTGTTAAAGATGAGCATTGAAAAAAGGAACTTTTTGGAATGTATGTAAAAAAATGTGGAATTGAAATTTGTCGCAGTTTCTTCAATCCATAAAAATTGAGTTTTTTATCTTGACCATAATTATGAGACAATAAAAAGTAAACAATTGGCAAATTGTTATGATTGGCAGCTAGAATAATTGAACAATTATAAAATGTTGTTTGAAAATAATTTCCTTCTGAATCATAATGAACATAAGACTCATTGATTTTAAAAGATTTGTCTTTCATAATTAACGTGACCAATTCATAATAATTATATTTACTGCAAAATTCCAAGAAAATTGGATCCGAATTGAATTCTTCAGGGAAAAAGTTGTAGTTATAATAATGAAAACAATGATCATAAAAGTTTTCTTTTAAGCATTGTTGATCTATAAAACTCTCATCTAAATAATTGTCGTGAATGTAATTTGCGATTTCATTGTGATGACATTTAATTGCTTCATAAAAGCATTCTAAATAAGTTTCATCTTTTGGTTTGACTTCATTTTCTTCGAGAAGTCGAATTATTTCTGGATTTCTACCATGAATTGCATAAAGCCACAATGAAGGCTCCAATTCAATGTGATTTAATCGTAAGTATTGAAAAATTTGAATGGATCCAAAAAAAGATGCGTATTCAATTAATGTAGTTTTCCTCTTTCGCAGAAATGGATTGGTTTCAAATATTGATTGATGTATTATGCTTGATAATGAAATATTGTTTTGATTAATATAGATTACGAATTCTTGAATTTTATCGTTTCGAATCAAATGGCAAATGTGTGTTTCATTTTCTCCAATTCTACATTTTTCTAGCCAGGTATCAAAATCGTAAGAAAATTTTTTTGAAAATTTAGATTCAATTCTTTTTATCTTTTTTTTGCTAATGCTTTTTTTTAATATGGGATAAAAATAATATATGTATTTCATCGAATTATATAATTTTTTTCTATATAAATATGTTAAAACGGATTTATCAATTGTAATGATGTTTTTTTCAAAAAGAAAACGAAGAAAAATTAAATTATTACCAAATGTATTCAACAAATCTAAGCTTGAAAAAAGAATTTTGATGTCCTCTCGTAGATGTGAAAAAATAAGATCAATTATTTTGAGAAAATCGATTGTCCTATAATGATTTTTTAAAATTTTAGATATACAATTAAGAAATAACGTCAATTCTTCCCGATTTTCATGAAAATTTTGTAAAAAACAAATCTTTTTTGATTGTTGGTTTTCGATTTCATTATTACATTCAAGAAACTCTGATAGAATGCAATAATCACTTTTCTTATGTTTGATATATTCTCTGATTTGCATATCTTTATATACATAATCTATGACAAACGAACTATGTCAATTTTGATTAGTAAAATTCAAAAAGTATTCAAAAAAAAAAAAATTTCAATTTAGATAGAGTAATAGATAAATAAAATTATGAAATTAAATTTAATTACGATAGAATCCTCTACTTTGGTGATGGCATTATTACCAAAGAAATTGGATAATTTGACTTTTTCAGAATTGGTAGCCAAATATGTATTGAAAAAAAATGAATCATTAAATAAAAAGATTTCAGAAAGTTTTAATCATCTAAAAAATTTTGATATGCTTATATCAGAAGCGTAAAATTTATTTTTATTTGGTTTCGTTATTGTATTTTGTAAATATTTATTTTATTTCCTAATATTAATTATGCATCATCAATTTGCATTTTATGAAAGATATCTACAACATTGACATTATAAAATCTATTTTTAAATCAGTTTTACTTTCTCATCGTAAGGTAAAGAACAAAAAAGCTAAAAATAGCAAAAACTTTTTCTGAAGAAGAATTCTTTGAATTTATTTTCAAAGAGTTTTGTTGTATTTTGAAAAGTTTACATGTTTTACATTAGTACTTTTAATATGTAAGTTTGTCATTGTGTATTTTTTAAGTGAAATAATTTTTGATTTATTTGAGTTAAAAGTTTAGTATTACTTTATCACGCTTCATGAAAATCATGGAAATGGGTTGTAGTTCAATTGGTTAGAATACGACACAGTCATTAGTCGAGATGTTGGTTCAATTCCAACCAACCCCTATTATTTTTTCTTTTTTCTTTTTTCTTTTTTTCCTTTTCATTTTCTTTTTTTGTTAAACATTCAAGATTAGAGTTTTTTCTTTATTCTGATTAGGATTTATTAATGAATATTTTATCAATGATAAAATAAGATAAAAATCAATGTTTTATTCATATTTAGAAAAATATTTATCTATCCTTATTCATATCAATTCAAATTTTTTACACTTTTCTTAGAAATTTTTCAATAAAATTTGATTTAAAATATTTGAATGGTTTATATATTCTTGACAATTGAAATTTGTAAAAATT